CGTACTACAATTGATACATCGCCTCGAACTTATTAGCGTAGCGGTGAGAATGAAGAATTAACCACGTTATGCTTTGAAAAGCATAAGCTCAAAGGCATTAATGATCGCTCTCAATCAAAACCTTCCTTGGAAAATGTATTTCCAATAGGCGAACTTTTGCTTGCAAGTTAACTGAAATGTTGTTCATGCTCGGTTCGACTCCTGCCACCAGTTTTTGATGCACAGGCATAATTATGCAACTCCTGTTTAAGTAATTCTAAGTCGTATAAAGTGATGTAAGGACAGATACTTGAGTTCGCTCACGAGGAAATTAGTTGTCCATTGATGCCATTGAATTTTGCTGATTGAGAATGCTCCTGAAAGCAAGGCAAAGGTGAAAATCACTTGCGCTATCTCAATTAAGTGGCATCAAATCACTTTAAGCTACCAGAAGTGTCTATTTCGGATCGCTGTCCTGGCTCACCAGGAGATAATAGCGCTTCCCAAAAAACTGCTCTTTTTCTGGTTGGACTGCAATTTTAAAATTACCCCATCGTGTCCCCAGCAACTTCAGCCGGACTTGGATAAAGTACTGTTAACACTTCGGCCCATTTAGAAGATAGGGTTCTCACGAAAAATTTTCATCCCCTAATGATAATATCATCAATCAACCAAAGTTATTCAACCTTTTATACCGGCAAAACTAGAAAATCTATTCATTGCTATGTTGTTGAAAATTTGCGCATGTGACCAAAGTTTAGAAAGTTTTCCTTCCCCTCATATCATTTAAAAGTGCCTGCATGTTGAAACATGACCAGACACCTCTTATACCAACCTTGGGCAAGGAGAGTACCAATGATGGTTTGACCTCGTTTTTGCAACTCGGTCGGAGCCACAAAGCAAAGCTAGCCCTGCGTCCTCTGCCATAGTATTCAAGATTTTCAGGATCGGACTCTTGATTTGGTTCATCTCCAGACATTTCAGCGGCATCGCCAGTGAGAGGCGTCATTCTTGGCACAAAGTTACAAATTGTCACTGATAAATTGTGATTCCATTGCTAAAGCTGGAGCCTCTCATTGATGATGCCGACCACGATGCCGGACCAAATCAGCGTTTCAATGGTGTAAATAATCATGAAAACTTTGGCAGAAGACGCAAGATTCGGTACGTTGCACAAGGCCTGCCTGTGGATCCGACCAAGTTGCGAAAACGAGGTCAAACCAACTCGGGCTAGCTAAGAGAGACTGCTACCAAACAAAAGGCCATGCTATTTTGATCTTCATATCTGCAAAGAGTAGATCAATTCATGTAATTGAGAGTAATATGATATGACAAAAAGGCCTGGCCTACCTTGAAAATTCACATTTGCCCTATGACCCAAAAGGCGCTAGTGGCAGTGTGGGAAAATTCTTCTTCTACCAGTCCTTCATCACCTTAAACGAAATTGTCTGAATACATCTCATACTACTGATTTACTGGTAGTCACGAAAACAATACTTAATTCGAAAAATAATTCAGAGTAGCCAGGGTATGTCACAAATTTGGACCAATTTTAGATCGGACGAAGAACGGAGGTTAAGAACGCCCATTTGAGCCTATTTGATGCATTACAAATCAGGTTACGAAACTGCTTCCACAATAATTGGTCTGCTGTTAGTCGGAAAGGTGTATCAACTCAATGTCAATGCACCACCATTCTGGCCTTGAATAGACTATTGGTTGTGCTACAAGAAAGGTTGGCCGGAGCTCAAATCGGGGTCCCAGACCAAAACATGTGAACGCCTCGGAATGGCATCCTGGCCCAGGCTATACCATAGGTGCCCCGAAAACGGAAGTTCTACCAGCAGTGGGCCACCTACTTTTTCAGATCCAACTTGTGCCAGTCTCCAGAGTGTAGGGCCTCCCGCGAGGTGTTTAGCATGACGGTCAACTCGGATCCGAGTTCGCCATCTTGCCCCTCCAGATCTACATGTCTCGGATCCCAGGCCCAGTCAGCCAGTTGCCGCGGCTGCCGCGACAACCGCAGCACAGCTCGGCCTCCGGACAACAGACGTAGGCTTAACTGGCAGAGAAGTGGACTCAATGGCTGCGAGCTGTAGGTGGTGAGATGTAGCAGAAGCGTCAATCCGTGCTCGATTGAGACTTGACGATGACGAACTTCGACGTCGTGGATACCGATCGGATCAGCCACATCCGGAGACCCAGACGCGGCTGAATGGGCCTCTTGGCAGTCCAGATTCCAACTCTGACTGACACTCTTGCTGGGAGAAAGTAAGCTCTGACTATCGTTGCTCAAGGAGGGGCAAACCGTTGATTGATGTGTCGACGAATTGGGCCGGGAAATGCGTAGGAACATAGAGATGTGAAAATCTTTTTCTTGTAGCCTATTTCAGTAAAGAAAGTAACAAAGACAATTACATGGAGATGAGATAGATTATTTGGAATTTCTTTTATAAATTTATGCTAAAATATCCTTTAGTTCGCTTTTCACGATAGGTGGAATGGATTCAGAAGTCGGCTTCATCGGCAACCAAATGAAGCTCGTCTTAAAGTTGTGAAAGTTGGCTCGATTCTATAAATATTCGGCTCACTGTTCTGCTATTCTGATTAATCCGCGTTGAAGCAAACAGTCATATTTACAAGGTTAACTCTCCCTCATTTCTGAATAGGTTAATTTATTTATTTTTTAGCTATATAACTTAAGACGATT